GGTTTCGCCCAAGTGGTGATAGAATCTAGTTCTAGCGCATTTAGCCATGTCCTTGCATTGTCCCTAATAGAAAAATGAAACAATTTTAGTCTTAGTTCATCTTCAGAGACACCAGGAAGTTGAAATGAATTAGCTATTTCAATAAAAGATTTGAGATGGGAATAAGGGTGTTCATTAGTTAGTCCTCCAAACTGGCTTATCGTATGCAACATCTGGAACATAACTGGCTTAAGTTCGAACTATGTGGCTTGGGGTAAAAGATTACTTATCCCTGAATTTAAGTTATCGAACGCATGAGTGACGTAATTTTACATGGCTACATTTCAGTTATCTGCTAAAATTATCTGATTAGGATTAACTTCTCCTGCTCGGTTTGCTGCTCCTTCACCTACCATATCTCTATTCATAGGTAAATCTTGGTAGAGGTGGAGGATCTTGAGGAGGAGGTGGATTTCTATTCATCTCGATTATCTATTCTTCAACTTCTTCAACTACTTCAACTTCTTTCTCTTTTTGATTTTCTCTTTCTTTTCTCAACCTCAGCTCACACTTTCTCCTTTTAAGGGTTCTTTCAGTTTATGCATCAAACTTCAACCAACCGGACACTGTGCTCATACACAACTCCCCTAAAGGTTAGATATAACAATTAAGTCAAATGACAAAGGCGTGCAACAATCAGACATGAAACAATTCACTTAAAAAGAAAACGATTTGAAAAATTAAGTCCTCAGCAACGGCGCGAAAAACTTATTGGGGCATTCTCTACCTTCAAAAGATAAGAAACACGTGCAAGTGTACACAGTCACAAGTAATACTTGGGAGTAATCCAAGGTCGAATCCTCAGGGACTTGTGCTTCTGAAAATAGTTTTAAAGAAGTGAATGGTTCAAAGATGCAATTGTGACTTATGAAGAAATAGTGATAAAATATTGTTGTTTGCAGTTTCAAGTAGCAAGCAATTTAATAAAACTGAACCTCTTTACTTCTTACCTTAGTTTTGATAAAAAAATATAGAAGATACACACTTTGGGGAAAATGCACCAGCCACTATTTGGCTAAATCTTGAGAATATGAGTTCTACTCTTTCACGTATCGTTTTTTGGTTGCTGCAGAGGCTAGGATAACCTATAATCATATTTCTATGTGTGATTACAATCATAGAAAGTAATTATAACCTCATTTTCATTTATTGGTTAGATGGCCTATGTCTAGGACGATGTTTTTATGCGCTTATTTCTAAGTCATATCCCATATTGGTTTCCTATTATTTTACCAAGCTCAACTCTGACCCACCCTTCTCAGAGTTGGGCTGTAGTGCATAAATCAATTTCCCAGGGCAAAATGGAAAAAAGATGTAAAGAGAAGTTTTTAGAAACGAACCCAAGCGCAATCTTGTTTAATCCCGAGCATGTTCGAAAATCAAATCATTTGAATAAGGCATTCCACAGAGAGGTTGATAAATAACTTAGTCCATAATTAAAGGGATTAAAACACACAAAACATAAAAGAAGGAATTTACATGGAATTTAAGTAAAGAATAACGGCGTACAAGGAGTTCTAGCTTCACCTTCTTCTCTTTCGAGCATGAGAGGAGTGTAAACTCGCTTAATAACTTTAAAAGAACGGAATAGACGAAGAACAAAAGTACAAACCCGAATTAAAGGCAATACGATAAGTAAAATAGTGAAAATACAAGAAACAGACAACTAAAACGTAAATCTAAAGCCTACGAACAAACTCTACAGCTAAGAACGAGAAAAAAGGAAGATGAAAATGATATGAGAATGGATGATTTGCTGCTGGGGGAGAAGCTTCCTTTTATAGACCCTCAAGTTTGTTGAATTACCCTCCATTTTAGGTGGAAATGTGTTGAGAGTCTGTCAACAACTCTTTAGTTTTAGGTCTATTCAAACAGGTTGGAAATGACTCCCTTGCCCTTCATTAAGTGAAATGCACGTTCAGACAAAGTTGACCTCAAATATGCGAGTGGTGCAATTCCAGCAAAAAAGTTTTTCTGTGATTTTCTTCGAATTTTGACTGCATTTTTCTCACATTTTTCCTGAAGTAACATATATTGCAAATTATTCAGAAACGTTCTATGCATGTTCTACTTTAAGAATATGTAAATCTTTTTAGTTAATAATGATGGGAAAGAGTTAATTTTTGTGGTCAAACAGGCCTACCGACACACATTTATGCAACAAAAAGTCAACCCAATCATATCGCAAGTTGCCCACCAGATCAATCTCGACCTATACTCAGCTATGAAATAAATTCATAAGTCAGTTCTCTTCTCGACATTACGACAAGAAAATGGCAACCCACCTCGCCACCATCAGACAGAATGAGGGCGAGAAACTACGGAAATCTGTGACCAGGTTCCAATAGGAATAGCTGAAGGTCACCTATTGCTCAGACGATTCGGCCATTAGCTACTTCCTCGCTAGACTGGCAAACGAAACGTTGATGGTCAAGTTGGGCGAGGGAAAGTCAGTTGTATTCGCCGAAGTCCTGCATAAAGCCAAGAAAGTCATTGATGGTCAAGAGCTGCTTAGGACCAAAAATAGGTCGTAAAGAGAAGAAGTTCGACCAGAAGAAATCAAGCCGCCTTGAGAAGGACAACACAGTTTCTTTGACCAGAAGAACACTGATGTTGTACAACCATATATAAGGTAATCCTTCTTTGTAAATGGTTTACATCATTTATTACATTAGTATATACTTCTTTGTGCTGATTGATTGTTAATATGAAGTCATCATATGGACTCTCTAAGATTGAAATATCCAAGTAGATCGACCAATGAAAAGTGGTTGCAGGATGAACACAATCGATCATTTGGTTCTTGGATCCGTGAGGAGGTAATTAAATTATTTTAATGGTTTTTCCAAATACATTCACAAGAAATGAAATTGGAATTTAACAGGTTTTACTTGTTTATACAATAGGTTATGGATGAATTGCGTAATGGTAAAAACATTTCCACTACAACAAATTTGTCTTTTCATGACGGGCATTGCCCGTCATTAAATAATAACCATGTCGGTCACTGACCGACATCTATACGAGTGTCCTTTTTCCCTTTCATGTCGGACAGTTTTAAGGTCGGGCATTGCCCGTCATGTATATTCTCTTTCCATCCGGACATGGCCGTCATGAAAGAACTATTTTAAGGTCGGGTAGCGCCCGTCATGTATAGCGTTTTTCATGACGGACATGCCCGTCATGAAATGATAACCATGACGGGTGACAACCGACATTGTATGTGCGTCATTGTTTGTACGCCATCGTCTGTTCGTCATGGAATGACTATATTTCGTGACAGGCATTGACCGTCATTATTTTGTGAATAAATTAATTAAAAAAATATTTGGTTGCCCAGACGTGGCTAACCAACTACATATATTTCCTTCAAACCTATGATAATATCTCAATATGCAACTAAAACTTTTAACACATTCATCCATTATAAAACAATATATATTATAAAACTTAACTCAAAAACTAACCTTAGACTCAAAACACAAATAATCACACAAATAATCAAAAGTACAAATTTCAACATMACCTCTCCACTTTTAGAATAACTCAAAACTAGCCAACAATATATCTCTTCCTTCCAACTTATTCTATAAAAGCTTAACAAAAACACAAACAATCAAAAGTAAGTATAAATTTCATCATGACCTCTCCAATTTAGAATATAACTCAAAATTAACCAACCAATATATCTCCTTCCAACCTATTCTCACAAACTAATTCTCAATATTATTGAAACTCAAAAACTAATAGGCAAGTAAAACTAACCTTAAACTCAAAAAACAAATAATCAAAAGTACAAATTTCAACATAACTTCTCCACTTTTAGAATAACTCAAAACTAGCATGGTTATAAACAAAACAAAAACTTCTATATTAACACCCTTCCATACAAGAACAAATGGGACCGCCCGTCCCTCTAACAAAACTACATTCAGCATAAGAATCCAGACTTCTATATATTATAAACAAAACAATCCAACACTTCTGTATAAACTTCCATATTTAAAGATTAATGGGTCAACCACCCATATATTCCTAAAAAAAATTACACT